CAGTGGCACAAGGGTCAGCAGTCTAAGGGACAGCAGGACAGCAAGGACAGCAGCCTGAGGGACAGCAGGACAGCAGTCTGAGGGACAGCAGGACAGCAGGGACAGCAGCCCAAGGGACAGCAGGACAGCAGGACAGCAGTCTGAGGGAGCAGGACAGCAGGACAGCAGCCCGAGGAACAGCTCTGCTGTGGCTGGCACCGCACACAGCCCTGTCCTGCCCGGGGCAGCCCCAGCCCTGTTTCTGGGACATTTCTTGCAGAGCTCCGTGCCAGGAGGAGTCCACTGCTCCTGCTGATCCCCACCTTGGTTTCTCACACAGAGTAAACACAAGTTAAGCAATGTGGAATGGGTGTAGCTTTGCATGTCCCTGACTCAGAGATTCCTGAATGTAGTGACTGATGCCACCTCCTCCTCCCGGGAGCTGTGGATACCCCGGCTCAAACCTGCTGCGCCTCCTCCAGGTGATGCAACCCCCGGGGAGGAAGAAGTTCCATTACATGAGTGGCAAATTGTTTATTTGATTTCCCATGGCTGAGCAAACACAAATGTCTCCAGGACAGGCTGAATGTCAAAAAGTGGCCGAAGCAAGGCCAGTGCTTTGAGCCAGCTGCTTCCCACAGCTTCCAAGGGTGCATTTCCTGATCCCTCCTTCCAGGAAACGAGGCTGGCAGAGCTCAGGTCTTGCTGGTGATGGGACAGCAGGCAAGTCCTGTTTATCTAGCAAAGAAAACACAACTACAAGCACTTCATTTTACTTTAATTAAAGCATTCAGGGTAGCGATGCTTAGTAATCTAGGATCAAAGTCCTTGTGATCTTTAATCCAGTTTCTCACTGGGTTTACCTAGTGACTTGTTAAATATAAAACTCATCATTTCAAGTCTCAGAACTACTCTGTCGCTGCTCAGGCTGTCTGAGTCCAAACTCTCCTGTTGCCTTAGCCTCAATTCCTGCTCCTTACTCACTGAATAGGGGTCACCCACAAAATTAATCATCACAGAATCACAGAGTGGTTTGGGTGGGAAGGGACCTTAAAACTCATCTCATTCCACTCCCTGCCATGGGCAGGGACACCTTCCACTGGGTCAGGCTGCTCCAAGTCCCATCCAGCCTGGCCTTGAACACTTCCAGGCAATTTGCTGGCACTTCTGTCCTCCCTGGGTCTCCAGCAGCTCCTCCTGAGTGCTTGGGCCCCTCCCAGGCAAGGAAGTGGTGAAGTCTTGGTAGGACCAGGCTGGCTGAAGCACAGGCTGGTGATTTGAAAGCTGGAGAAAATGTCCTTTGTGTAGAGAATTGCTTGTAGTGGGAGAAGTTTGGGAAGTGAGGGAGGGGAAGCTGTGATTGCCTGGAAGGGCAGGGAGAGCAGGGCAGATGCTGCTGGGGGAGGTCGTGGGTGGGAGAAGGGAAGGGCTGATGTGTGTCTGGACTCTGTGGTGTGTTTGAAGGTTGTGTGGCATTCATCTGCCTCCAGTTCCTCAGCAGAGGCTGTGCTGCCTCATGCCCTGCCTGGTGTGCTCAGTTCTTCATTCCAGGTGTCCATGCAAGTGCTTTCCTTATGTGGGATGCACACAGAGACATCTGCCCTCCTCTTTTTTCATTAGACTTGGTGTAAAGCTGTTTCCTTCAGAGCTTCCTCCTGATTTCTGCCCATCCTTCTTCTCCTCCCTTCCTCACTACCAAAGTGTTGTTGGGAGCTCTCCTGCAGCCTTCCCTTCAATCACAGCCATTTTGTTGCTTCCCCCTCCTTCCTCAAACCCTCAGATTTTCTTTAATGTCGGTCTCCTTGGCTACGAGTTATTTGTGTATCTCCTTCCAGCCAAGGTGGGGCTTACATGCTTCAGTATTTCTGCTTGTTAATTCATGCTGCTAATCAGACACAAAGAATGTAATTAAATTAATTTTATGAGCTTTATTCACTGTCAGAAATAAACCGGCGCAAGAGGTGTGGTTCAAGGTGAAAGCACAAGGCTGGGAACCAGGAATTCCTGCTGGCTCCTCCTGCTTGTCACACCAGGGCCCTGTGACTTCCTGCCCTGGTGTCTCCCTCCATCCACGGCAGTGCTTTGTGGCAGGTCACCCAGAGCAGGCTGGAGTGTGGAAGTGTTGGGAAGCAGCTGGAATTCCCTCTGGCTTGGATGTCAGTGCTCTGACAGTGCTCGGCAGGGCAGGAGCTGTCCCTCCTCCTGGTCAGCTCTGCTGCTGCCTCCCCCTCAATTCCAGCTGCTCACATCACCCAGAATTGCATCCTGTTCCTTCTGAGCTGCTTCAGTTCCATCCTGCAGAGCTCAGGGCAGGCTCTCTGTGCTCTGCAGGTGTGTGACAAGGCTGTGAGTGCCTGTCCTGCACACACGGGACCTTTATCTCCCTGGTTTCCACTCACCTCGCAGGATTTCCTCAGGATCTGCTGGGCTTTGCCCACTCCTGGCAGCTGATGCAGCAAGTTCTCCACAGCTCTCTTTGAACGTCCCCGGTGTTTTGGCAGTGCCCAAGCTCAGTGCTAACAGTGTGCTCTCCCCTCAGGTGACGTGATCCAGGTGTATTACGGTGACAATCGCTTCGGGACGGTGACAGACTCTGGCACAGCAACGCTGAAACCGCGGCCGAGGGTGCGGCCGCTGCTGACGTTCCTGCCCCTGGTGAGTGCCCGAGTCCCTGCTGGGCTGGAGCTGGTGTCCCCAGCCCGAGGGACAGCAGAAACCACCCTGCAGTGACCCTGGCTCCGAGGAGCTGGGTCTGAGCTCAGGGCTGGCCTGGGCCACGGACGAGGCACTCGGGGGAGAGGTGTGAGCACCGTCACACTCGCATTCTCAATTAAAGAATAATTGCTGAGCATGGAGAGGACAGACCAGGCTTGCACTGCCGTTTATCTCACTGCTGCTGGCAGGATCTGTCCCAGGATCAGGTGTGCTGCTGGAGCCAGCAGTGTGACCCCTGTCCTGCTGCAGCAGAGGAATGAGGTGATGCTCTGGGTGTGCAGGGGATGATTCTTTTCAATCTCTATGAAAAAACCATTCCCTGCAGAGCTACCAGTGCTCCAGCAGCAGCAGCAAGGGCCAAAACAGCCAGAGCAGAGGGCCTGGAGGTGGCTGTAACTCCAGAAGCCACGCTTGCTTGTGGCTGGCTTTGAGGAACCCCATGCAGAACTTTCCAGAGGTCTTACAAAGAGCACAGTGAGGCACAGGATTCACAGAATCCCAAGGTCTGGGTTGGAGGGGACCTTAAAGCTTACCTTGTTCCCCCCTCTTCCACTAGAGCAGGGTGCTCAGAGGGGCTCTGGAGATGCCCATAGCTAAGCTGAAGTGATACCCACAGCTCAGGAGCTCAGTGAAGATATGAAAATGCTTAAATCCTTTGGTCTTGACAAGGAGGTGATCTCTGCTAATGGAAGTGTGTGTGGTAGAGGCACTGACAGCACGAATGTCCCCAGGACAAATCCTGAGGGCACCCAGGCCCTGCTGCTGCTGCCCACAGAGGCACAGCTGGCCCTGGGGCTCTTCTTCCTTTGTCAGGGTCCCTCACAAAGCTGGGCCTCCCCTCTGACAGTAACAGCTTTAACTGAAGGAATTAGTAGGAAAGCACTTTGAAGGATCAGTCTGCGTTGGATGTTTGCGCTTCTTTGGTGAGGTTTGATGATCATTTGATCTGGCACAGACTCCTCTGCTGCCACGCACATACCTGCACCAGGTACACACCTGCACCGGGCGGTTCTGCAGCTCCTGCCTTAACCCTTTCCCCCCACCCACGGGGAGCAGCTCCGGTGAGTCAGGAGGATGCACCCGCCCTGCCCCGCAGCTCCTGCACTGCTGCACCTGGAGCAGCCTCCTTCCCCCGGCCCTGGGCTGGCCCACACGGAATCCCAGCAGGGACTGCAGGAGAGGGTCCCCCCACATCCCCCTGGCTCCCCCAGCACTGCAGGTGCAGGAGAGCTTTGGCATCCCAGGGGAACAAATCCCTTCAGGAAACCACCACGCTGCCCTAGCTCAAAAACAAGGAGATTGGGGGCAGCCCTTCATATTCAGAGAAATTCTTGGCCTCTCAGACCCCAGGCTGCTCAGCAGTTGTATTTTGGGGTGGCTTTTGTAACAGGCAGCCTCAAACCTTGGTCATTGAATGAATGGCTGGGCAGGGGGTGCTCCTGAGAGCCCGGGGAGCTGGGGCCCATGGGGACAGGCAGGCTCCCTTCACTGGGCACGTCTGACTGTTCCAGGGATGAAAAGTAATTCCTGGTGGTTACAGTGAAAGCTTCCCCCCACGGGATCCTCAGCAGGCACAAGTCTGATTCAGGTACCACAAACTGGAAATGCAGGTTCCTGGCACAGCACCCAGAGCCTGCTCTGAATCAGTGGGAGGTTTTCTGGGCTGGCTACACCCAGCAAACACCAGGAATGATCTTCCCAACCATCTCTGCAGACTGGCAGCATGCTGGGGATGCTTTCCATTTCAGAAGCCGGCTCATGATGTGGGGACGGGTGGTTTTTGAGAGATGCTGAGCATTAGCAACTGCCACAGAGGTTTTGGTGATGAACAGGCTTGCCCAGTTGGAAATGACACATCCAAAATTGCTGCTCCTTTATGAAGTGCAGACCGTGTCCTCCAGCTTTGCATAGCTCTCTTCTGACTGCCAGTTCCTCTCCACTCCTCCCTAGACAGGTGATGCATATGCTGGCAATGCAGAGCTCAGACATCTTTGCTTCCCTGGAAACCAGCAGCAATAGATTTCCATAGCAAATGGGAGCTGCTGGGGTTTTATTCTTTGTGATTTTGGTATCTCATTGCTCTGGACAATTGAACTATCAGCTCTTGAAGTGCCTCTCCTGGCCTTTGTCTCCCCTCTGGCTCTCCGATGAAGTTCAGGATGTGCCCTCATGCTTTCACAGGCCTTGGCTTCTCCATCAGCACAGTGTTGTCTGGTCCTTTGTGCAATCCCAGGGATATGAATTCCCTCACTCCCGGCTCACCAGGACCTCATTCCCTTGTGGTTACAGAGTTTTTTTGGTCATCTGCAGGGTGATGGATGTAGCATGTGAAATATGTGTATTTCCTATTATTCTGGCCAAAGCTGGGGCATTCCAGGGCTCTCCAGAGGAGCCCAGGTGCTGCTGTTGAATCAGCTCTGCCCCAGCAGCTCCTGGGCTCCCCAGCCAGGGCAGAGTGGAGCTGTAATGTTCTGTCTGAGCCTGGATGGGGCTGGATGAACAAATGACCTTTGATCCAGGAGACTTTGGAATCCCGGAGCACTCTGATGTAAAAGCGGTGATAACGGCAGTGAAAGGCAAAGGGCAGGGGCTCAATCATTATCCAGGCTTTTGTGTGCAGGAAATGGCTGGGGAGAGGCGCAGGCTGATGGCAGGATAACATTTCCTTTGTCCAGGGCTGTTAGCAGGGCAAACATCTGCCTGGGGAATGCAGCAGGGTGGATGTGGAGCCCGGGAAGGGGACAGCGTGTCCCTGAGCACTGCCCGTGTCTGTCTGTCCCTCGCTGGATGTTCCCTCGGAGCTCGGCACCTTTCTGCCATTGAGGTGCCCCAAGCCGCCCCCGGTCCTGCCCGGCCCGAGTGCCCAGGGCTGTCCTGGAGACCCCCGGAACCCCCTCGGAGCCCCTCAGAGCCCCTCAGAGCCCCCCAGAGTCCCCCCCAGCCC